TTGCATCGTCAGGATCGGGTCAGTCGGCTTCTGGTATGTGTTGTACAACTCGTCAACAAGCCGACCGAGTTCGGCCTCGATAGTGGCATGAGTTCGGCCCCCGAGTGGAGATGTTGCTTCTTGCACTGAAGTACTCAGGTGCTCGAGTAACCAGTTGTAGTATTCAGCAGCATACCATGAGTGGGCCTTGCTGAGGAGATTCGCTTGATGTAAGAGATTGTTGAGGCTGCACTTGCTGGTGGTGCCGGTGAATATGGGAAAATCCCGCTTCAGTTTGGTCACCGCCATGAAGTCCTTCCTCTGAGAGGAAGTGAACTGCCGGTTACGTTCTGAAGAAGATGCCAGGTAGAACGATGGCGTCAGCCTCGTGGTCGAGAGGATAGAGCCGCGTGAGGGCGCTGGGCTCCGTGGGGTCGCCGGAGAGAAAGTTGATGGTTGCGGTGATTGGGCCATGGCGTTGTTCTGGATGTCGTCGATGAGTTCAGATCCCGATACTATCGGGCCGATAGAAGATGTCCCGTAACTGGTGTAACACAAGGGGGTCTTATAGGTTAGGGACGTACAGTGTAGACTGTCAGAACCAATCGTACCGATCGTAAGGCGAAGGTAGGACTGTGTTTACGCGTGCAGTGTTCTCACGTACAGCGTGTGGGCGGATATACTCGAAGTTGTGATCGGGTCGTCGATTGATACTATAGGTAGTCGATGCTAGTGACTCTGGCAACACAATCCGAAGGGTAGATACGGGTATAAGATAATACTTAGCTGCGGTCGACAAGGTTGGCAGGAGTGCCAACAGTAATCCTCAAAAGAATCTCTCTAAAGACTCTGAATGCAATCGATCGTTTGACGCATGCACACGTTAGCTACGGATAAGGCCCTCGCGCTCGCCTTATACTGTCTATTCCGCACAGGCAGGGCCGCACAGGCGGACGACAACAAAAAGCTAGCTGACAATGGCCGAACGGAGTCGATTTACATATAGCGAACAATCGATACAGTGCAGCTAACAGACTGGCCAACAGGAGTGGGTAGATCCTCCTACCACATCTCGTCCCCTGTAAATCTGGCGCAGTGAGGAAATAACGTAATGACAATCAAAATGGCAGCAAAAATAATCATCTAGCTAGCAGTGGATAGCAGCAATAACTGGCCACAGGCTGTGTACAACAGCTAAGGGCCGACAGACTTATAGCGATTCAAAACCCAATTGGACACGTCGTCGAGCTCGTTAATATCGCAACCAGGAGGGGGCCACTTATCTGGGGCGGTCAGAATAGCACCCGTTGGCAGCTGAGTTGGAGCAAACGACCGAATCTGTCCTCCACCAGGGACCTTCAGCCCTTGCTGAGCCAACTCCTCATCGGTGAGGGGCTGTACCTGGGGTTGGGCGGCCATAGCATAGACGGATCGGACGGGGTCATTCAAAATAGTTTGAAAATCATCCAGTAACCTATCCCACTCATCCCGAGTGGGCCGTCCCTCTATATGCTTAGCGATTCCAAAATCTGGCTGCCCCTCCTCTCGAGGTGCGCAAGCCGAATCGCTTTCTATCTCAGTCTGACAGGCCACATCACATCTTCCCCCTCTGGCAAACCCCAAGGCTGCCGAACTATTTACGCTTTCTCCACCAACACACTCAAGGAGCTCTCGCCCCCAGTTAATTAACTCCCGACGCCTTCCTGTCTGAGTAGAGACGGTTGCCTTTTGCCTCGGCGACAGGCTGCCCTGACCGGAATTCTCATTCGGGTCACGAGCCGCCCTCCCCATCAGACTCCTCCCCTGCCGGGATGTCGTCTGGGTCCCGCCATACGGCACGGCAAAGCTATCTCCCACTCGAACAGTATCCATCTCCCATCTCAGCGCATTGGCTGAGCCCAAGTCGAACGCATATGGAGCAGCCGGTCCCGCGTTTCGGGCCGTACTACTCCTCAACTCTACCGGGTTCTGCTCGTAGAGCACGTTGAACCCAAAATGTCGTAAAAAGTCATGGCCCAAAATAATCGGAAAGGCCAACGAATCGCAAACGTACACAGACATGGTACATCGGAGTCCCTTGGGAGAATCCTGGCGACGGGCCAAATAAGAGGCTGTCGCCGCCTCCGCGGACTCATACACAAAGAAATCAAGATTAACGGTGCCGACAATGGCAAATTCGGACTTGTCTACGGTCAGCAACTGACACCCATCCACAGGCTGCACTGTGAGACCTTCAGGCAGCTGAGACAGAGATACCAAGGTGGCACAGCAGCCAGTGTCCACCTAGCGGTGTGCTGGTTGATCCTGTCACCTGCGGTGCCAGTTGCTAGTGTACCTGCCACGCTGTGGCAGACTTGACGTTGTAGTCCGCCATGGTCCTGCCTGACACACTCGTGATGGTGGCTTACCACTGTTACTAGTTAGATGTTGAGCCAGTACCACTGGCTTGAGTGCGCACTGTTAGCCGTGCGCAGTGGTCTGAGTTTTCCGACGTAGATTAGAGTGCTACTCTACTCTCTGATGCGCTCTCGCGCGTTACTTTGCATTGCTTTGAGGGGGTTCGAGTCTGCAGGGTTGATTGGTCCGTGCACCCCACTGAAGTGGGGACCCCGCACGGACCCGTCTAGGTTCGAACCTGCGACCTTTAGGATGAGAGTCGGACTGAATAACCACTAGAGTAATACCTCGTTCAAATAAATGTGTTTCGTCGAGGATCGCCAGTCTCTAGTACCGTACACCGTGGTGGTTAGTTAAATCACGGTGGAAGACCTTGTGCTGCATATTATCAGCAGTACTTAGTACGAGTATTAACTGTCAGAGGCCGGATATTGGTCAACCGCATGGCAGAGCATGACACTGTCCATGAGACTGAACCAAATATATACGGTCTATCCCTACTGCGATGATATAGAAAATTGGGATTACTCAGATTCGAACCTGGGTCACTCGAGTGATAACCCGTCACACTAACCATTATACCAAATCTACTATATAAAATAAAAGTGCACGAGTCGCCAGCCCAATGTTGAGAGTTGCTTAATAGTACTGAGCATGGACTTGCAGCCTACCCAGAGCCCAGAGGGCATTGTCCTTCTCACTAGTACACTACTGACCGCTGTGCCACCCAAGTCGCTGACCTACTCCGAGTGCTGAACCTTATTCCCCAATATAGTCCCACCGGGATTCGAACCTGGGTGTCTCGAGTGATAGCGCACGCCCTTAACCTGCCAGACTAGTAGGACTGTTGTAGAAGAAGTTGCTTATGCAACATGGTTCACATAGAATTGATGAAAACTAAAACGTTAATAACTTTTTATTGAGCCTATAAATCCCAAATCCGGCTTCACAGCGATGTTCAGCAGATCGAGATCTGTCGATTGGTGAAGGAATTAGTGGGATTTATAGGCTAGATCGCGAAATCGGCTCCGCAATTATACATTTTTGGTGGGAGCTCCTAAAGGTAAAAAATAATCGCGCATATGGGGACCCCTCCCCCATGCGCGGCGGTCGATAAGGGCGGAGAGGCGCCATCCACCTAGCGGTGTGCTGGTTGATCCTGTCACCTGCGGTGCCAGTTGCTAGTCTACCTGCCACGCTGTGGCAGACTTGACGTCCTCGTCCGGCATCATCCTGCCTGACACATTCTGTTCGTGACCCACTAGTGCTATTAGTTTGGTGTTGAGCCAGTACCACTGGCTTGAGTGCGCACTGTTAGCCGTGCGCACTGGTCTGAGTTTTCCGATGTGGACTAGAGTGCTACTCTACTCTCTGATGCGCTCTCGCGCGTTACTTTGCATTGCTTTGAGGGGGTTCGAGTCTGC